CTTCCTTCACTTTTCCCTCTACACAATTTTGTGCCTATATTTTAAATTACCTTTCCTGTTCTCTAATACCCTAGGAGCTATAAAGTGAAAAGGGAACCATAAATACATAAATGAATAGTATCTACCTACTTAAGCAGAACATTAGGAGTCATTCAACAACCTCCAGAAACCGCAGACACCTTATTAACATTTCGTGGGTTAAATTACTGAATTTACCATAATCAGAAGAAAGATGGATTTTTGCTACACAGATGTTCGTTCCTATGAACTAAAATAAAATCTTAAGCTCCTCCCCCAACAGGGGAACCACATGAATACCCTACCGCTGAGTTGCTGGGCCTGAGAAGGGAGGTCAGCGGTGCCCCGCCACGCCGTTGCCGGGCCTGAGAAGGGAGGTCAGCGGTGCCCCGCCACGCCGTTGCCGGGCCTGAGAAGGGAGGTCAGCGGTGCCCCACCACGCCCTCCTTCCCTTCACAATGTCTCTGTTACTCATTAGCAGCCTAAGGCTGTGTGAGGCAAAGCCTAAGCCACACATGCAGCTTACGTGTCACTAACTGGAACTTCAGTCTGGGTACACGTCCAGTGGCTTGTCTCTCATTAACACACTTCCTTATCTTAAGTTAAAAGACCCCAAGCCTTTAGGCCAGTGGCTCTCAACCTTCCTAATGCCCTGATGTATTTTCATTGCTACAAAGGGGTCGCGACCCCCAGGTTGAGAACAGCTGCTTTAGACAAAGCTTCATTTCCTTAAGAAAGTACACATCAAAGGTTCTTTAAATCCACCTGTAACCTATAAGATACTGCCATCCCTTTGAGATGTCCCTCCTTGCTGGGCCAAACCAATGTACATCTTCCACATATTACTGATGACTTAATATGTAATTCCTGCCTCCCTGAAATGTATAAAATATAACTGTCACCTCCCACAGGAAGTCTACTTGCTCAAGGCTTTTGGGGCATGGCTCTTGAGCCATGGTCCTCAGATCTGGCTCAGAATAAAGCCCTTTAAATTATTTTACATAGTTTGGCTACTTTTCCATCGACATTCCTTTGACCTAAATTTAACCAAAGTATTAGCTGAGCTGAAAAAAATCTAAGGTCTCTTCAATAAATATAATATTAAACATTTCTTATATAAATTAACTCATTTCACCTTTCCTATGTACGAGGAAGAAAAACCACACGTTATCCTCATTTTACAGCTAAAACTGAAGCTGAAGGTTCAGTGACTCGGCTTAAAGTAACAATCGGGTAGAACAGAGTTAGGATGCAAACCTGGGCAGTGTGACTCCAGTGATCTCTCAGAAAGCAACTTGAGGGTGTCAAAACCCATGTAAAAGTTGAAGTTATAAAAGTCAACTAATACAGGTAAATGAACAAAACGTAAAGATAACAGGCACCTGTAGTCCAGCTACATGGGAGGCTGAGGCAAGAGAATTGTTTAAGCCCAAGAGTTTGAGGTGGTTGCTGTGAGCTGTGACACCACAGCACTCTACCCAGGGTGACATAGTGAGACTCTGTCTCCAAAAAAAAAAAAAAAACAAAAAACGTAAAGATGAGACAACAAATCTATCCCATACATAAGAACGGCATTCCGAGAGGGGGCGGGAAGCCTATAGTGCCACGCTGTTCTCCTTTCTCCTGTCCCTGAGTTGTCGCACCCCCCTCGCCAGCCGCCTCGTGGAGGCCCTGCAGTCCCCAGCGCCCTCTGCTCCCAAATGATTGTTAAGTGCTGATTGGTTGCATCGGATGTAATTGAAACAGAATAGGAAGATGGCAGTAAATCCTTCAGGACAAGAGCAATTGTCAAAAACCCAACTTTATAAATATATCATTGAAAGGAATACAGTATACTGTTAAAACTGTAAACTACTTAAACCATGTCACGTGGTGTCCAACAAATGTTTTCAAAACAAAAACAGAGTTGCAATCTTGGCAGAACTGGACAAAGCGAAAAGAAAATCACTTATGCAGAACCAGTCTTCACCAAATCATCCTGGAGCGAGCATGGCAATCCCCAGATCACCCTATAGTGAGCATGGCACTCCCCAG